AATAAATATATATAAATGTATAATGTTATGAGATTTAAGCTATTTAGTTTAAACATTTACGTTTATGTTTTCATGTTGTAATTTGTTGTCATTTTAGAATAAAAGAGGCATAATTTATATTTATTTCTTAATTTTTATGGTGATTATGAGTTCAGTCAAATCTATCAAGCCAGTACAAAGAATCGTTAATGAAAATAACAGATAAAATATAAAGTTTTTTCTTAAGAAACATTTAATAAATGAAAATTACTTTGCATGTTAGATAAGCAAAATGCGAAAAAAAAAAAGACATGAGAGAAACATTCCTTAACAAACCTTAAGAGTGGATAAAAAATTTGATATTTTATGTATGAAAGCATTTTAATGCTTAATGATAACCTGCCAAATTTTGTTAACATACACCTACTAATTTAAAATTTATAGTATGAAAACTATAACAAGCACAAAATTGTTACGAGGTCAGTCCCAGGGTCCAAGCCCGTGCTGAAAGAGTTAAAGAGATACTACATAACTGTAGATTAGTCGAAGAAAGGTTCTATAAAATAATAAAAACGAAATTAGTTAAACTAGTAGATGTATGTATTTAAACAGATTGGACTAATTATGACAGAGCTTTCATCTAGCTTTGTGGGAAAATGTTACTAGTTTACCAACACTAAAATGCTTGCAATAAAAATAATGTGTAAATAATCTGTCTAAAGTAAATTTATAGGTTTCAAGTTTGTGAAGATTACAACTAAATTTAAAAGTAAATGTTTCCAAGTTCCACACACTAAAAAAGTTTAAAACAACACCATTAATAAACACATCAACTAGTGTAACAAAAACATACCTAATCTTCCTGTGGCTTTGATCCTTTGGTTTGCTCCAAGGCATTTTTGATGATATGTACAATCACACTTTTTACAGATTAATAATGTAGACTGAAAATAGGAAGAGAAAAAAAGTGTTTGAAAATAATCTAGATGTTTCAGCTTGTTATAAATGAAGATTCATTCATTTTTACTAAGTGTTTAGTCTACCTCATATTCACTGATTGCAGATCATGTTCTGTTCATTTCTTTACATTTCCCCAATTGAAGATGCAGTGGCAGGGTATTCACCTTACATTTAAGAGTTAGTTTTTTAACTTATTGACACGTCTCTTCTACATCATGATAAACATACTGCCACTGTTATTTAGCCAGAAAAAGAACTTTCAAATCATTTGAATTTTACAGAACTAGTTTTTTTTTTTCTCTGGACACAGCTTGGACATAATCTGATATTATGCATATAAGTTACCATTAATTTGTAGTTTTCATTCTTACATCTAGTCTAACTTTTTTATCTACTAACTCTCTGGCAAAATAAAATTATATCAGTTTGTATCAGGAAGCAAAGTACATGTAATATTATGATGGGTCCTACCAAGCAACTATATAACTGACATACAAACAACAACTATATTACTATGCAAGTAATTCTAAATAGCATTATTCAAAAATGTGAATGAACTATAGGGAAATCCAAGGAAAAACCAGTTTTGGGAATTGCCTATACCTACTCCCCACCACCACCAAGTTTCCCTTCAAATCTGCATTGATCTGATCACTGAAACTGAAAACTCAAGTACAATGACAAAAAAAATCATAAAATAAGTATTCAAACATTTATTATTTGGTTTCCATATTTTTTCTGTGAATAACTCCAAGCATCCAGCTGTTGTACAATAATACATCAGTTAGTAAGTAACTAGAATATTTAATGATACAACCACCCCCACCTTGCCTAGTTTGACTAGTATAACTGAATTTAGTGAATTGGTGTAACAAACAAAGGGGAATATGAAATTTGTTTAAAAATGAAAGCAGGTCAGTTGACAGTTTTATTCCTCATACTTGTAATTCTGTTAAATGAGCTAATCTTTTTACTAGTTGTTATACACTGATGTTAAACATTCAATGTCCATTGGCAGCTGTAAAATTTAGTTTTAAAACTAAATGCATAGTTTTAAAATATAATTGTATAAGAGCTTAAATTAAGCAAGAGCAATCACCCATCTAATGTAAGTTGTTATATATTACACTCTCACTCACACACATGTTAAGTAAGCCCAAAAATGAACAAAATGCATTAAAACCAACCTTGGAAAAATAAACACAAGACTAATAAAACACATGGTATAGATATACATGTACTGTATACTATGTCTACCATATCAATTGTCATGCTATGTAGTGTTAACCAATTAAACTGAGCAGTAGCTCATATGTAAGTATGTGTGTCACAGTAAATGATAATTTTGGTTCTTTGAGCCTACTGTGTGGATAATAATTATGCATTAGCCTTTTCAACTTTCTTTGAATCATTACAAGTCATAGCAAAAATATTATTTATTGTGGTTTTAGAAATGTCAGACCTGCTTTATGAGGTGTTAATTTGCATTTTTAAACATGCAGGTAGTATTGAACTTTCTGTGTAAACATGAGGTATTCATATCCTTCAAATACAACAGAAATACTAACCTTATTTGAAAATGTTTGAAAGTATGAAGCATTCATAGGGTTCAGGGATCCCCAATAAAATTATTTTCAGCACTTTGAGTTCTAAATTGAATTTCCTGACTTTTACTTGTTAATCTTTTTTACCATCACTTTAAGAAAATTTGAAAAAAAAATTATTACAGACCACGTAATGTAATTATATTGTACATATATGGCACTCACATAAAAGTTCTCACACTTTTAAAAAACCATCACTCCATTTGTCATTTAACCAGCAATTGCAATGTTAGCATATTAAAAGATAAGCCTTGGATTGAAGTCACTCAAAATAACCTCAATTACTAAGACCCAGTAAATTACAAAGGAACTAAAATGTATAGTATAAGGAATGGTCTCCCAAGACCATTTAATAGTGTTTAAATCTCTTGCTACAGACTCTGTCAAATTGGCCAAGATCTTGACCCCAAGCTGACCTTTACAGTTTTAATACTATAACTTCTAATACATTCTATGTATCATCACAAAATTTTGCACACTTTCAGTAAGCATTAAGTATTTTGTAAACAAAAATATCAGAATTTTTAATGAAGTATTTTCACTAAAAATTTCTTTGAATGTATGGAGTCAAATTGTTGACTGAAAGTTATTATTTTCCTATACTGAAAATGTATTTCCGATTAGCTATTCTCGTCCAGTGCTGCCCTCTATATATGAAAATTTTTCATGATGCATGCCATAAACCTTCTGCTCCCCCCTATTGGAATCAAATGATTCCAACATGTCTCTCATGCAAATTGTCATATGCCACTTCTCCACCAATAGGAGCGTGACACACATGACACATATATATGTCTCTAACTGAACTATCACTTCGAAGTTTGGCAGAAGATGTAAGCACTGGAGAAAAGTGGGGAGGAAGAGTGGGAAGTGTGCAAAGAGGGAAATACCTATCAGAAATACATTTTCAGTATAGAAAAATTATAATTTCCGATACAGTACTTCCCTCCTCTCACAACATTAGCTAAATTCCCCCATAATGATTAGATGGAGGGACTGGTGTGAGGGAATGACAGAAGTACCCCCAAAAGCTTCCAAAGGATACCCCTGGAGATGAGAGAATCAGATTCAAAAATATGAGGAGCGGAACAGCACCACTTCTGACTAGGTATACTCTTCATCCATCTATGAAGTGTGGAGGAGATAAGGGTTGAAAAAGAGGAGCACATCCAAGTGGGAAAGAACTGTGGCAAGATATTCTAACCATGTAAATATACATGTATCTCAATCCCACCAAGTATAAAAGTGGGTAAAACAAGAATGTGCCCCTAGGTGTAGAGCAGCTAGGGCACAACGGACTGTACTCAGTAAATCAACTACATTCAAAAGCCATGCCTCTGGGAACTGACATCAACGCAAGGGTAGGATGAGGATCATACCGTCTTTACCTCAAGTTCAAGAGACTGGAGGGAAAATGGAACCACTCCCACTCCTGAGCATGACACATGTATTAGTTTTAATTGATCAATCCCGGTACCAGACATCCAGTATCAAAAGGATGTCCATATAATATAAATCAATTCCCCACCAGTGAAACTGACCAGAAGCATCTGAAAAACAATAACATCCCACATTAAGATACAACGAGGGATACCAAAAAGGACAGAACCAGAACATTTCCCCTTGATCTCCACTGTGACCCACAACACAGAAGGAGTATGATCAAGGGAGGAAGACAGACACCCTAAACACATGTGAGGACTTATGTTTATTGGTTATATTCTAAATCCAAAACCCAGCCATGAGGTACTGACATCCACGTGGGGGTAGGATTAGGGCTTCCAATCGAAGGGGTGAACTGCACTTTGACATCTCACTCGTTTGTGGATGTATATTGTATATTGGAGGTGAGAGTCCAGAGGAATGTCATCACCTGAGACAGTGCAATGGGTGACCACAAAACCCCATTTTGAACAGCAGACCATACAAATTTATTCAATACAAGGCATGGCAGGGATTGGCAGATATACTCTTCTGCTTTACCCATGCAGTCCATGGGTAGTATGGGAAAGTTTAAGAAAAAATTACATCACAATGTTATTCACCAACAAGCAATCTTATGGAACACCCCATCTCAATAGTGAGCACTGCAACGCCATGAAAGATAAAGCTCAAGACAACATGGCTGTAGAGTGCAAATTTCTGATTGAAGAATATCTGGTCAAGCACCACTCGCCACAGAGCAAGATTCAAATCAAGAATAAATGAAGCAAGAGCCCCTGAAATGAAAAGAATGTATGAATATAGACTTACCTAGTCAAAGTTGCACTGAAGCTTGAAGAATGGCCATAGGTGGAAAATAAAAATCCGAGGAATAAGAAACCACAATACGGTGTAAATAATGGGAGATGAACATATTAGGTGCAGTCCATATGCCCGATTGTAGGATTTCCTTCAATGGCTGACAAAGACGAGATGCAAGGGAAAAGGTGAGTTGTTGAATGTGGTGAGAAGACACCCTGAAGAAATTCCAGTGGGAAGAAGGCAAGGAAGAATAAGCCAATTGAATCAAACATTGAACCCAATTGGTGATGGTGAAAGAGGATAGATCACAAACAGAGGAAGTCTGCCAAAGGATAAAGATTCAGGAACAGGTAATATAGCAATGAAGGATACAGACCGGTCATAAAGTCTATCCGGATCGAGCCAAAGTTAAAGATGAGAAATAGAAGGATGGGAAATAAGCAAAAAGGAGGAGTTACCCTCTCTAGCCGCTGAGGTCTTTGGGATAAAGGAACAATCTGGATAAAGGAGAAGATAGGTGTGGCGATAAAGAGTACGCAAAACATCATTGTAGAACAAATTAGACCTTCGATGTTCACAGGCTAAGAGGAAAAGGAAATGTTTTAGGGAAAGGTGAAACATGAGGAAATAGGTTCAAATAGAGGTAAAGTGAGGGATTAGAGGACCACATTAATATCCCAGTCCAGAAGACTAGGCCGTCTGGTGCGACAACGAATCCGGAAGGAACGCATTAACATGGTAAGAGCAGGGAAAGCAAAAATTTGACAGTATCAGGATAACCCAGCAGCTTGATAACCTGAGATCAAAGACCCCCAGTCAAAAAGACTCAGCTACATGAGCCATAGTAGGTTGGTCAGCGGGGAATCCCTGAGTATTGGACCAACTGTGCAACACCTTCCATTTTTGCTGGTACACCTCCATTGAAGAAGGACATATATAATGAGCCAAAAGGAAAGCTACTCAAAATGAGAAACCTGATCTCCTCACCAAGGATCGCATAAAAGTCGGGCGTGAAGATGAAGGTCATGAATGGTGGGAGTTAGAACTGGTAACCGAGGTTGACAAAGAAGGGATACTGGAGAAAAAAGTTGCAGCTGGTGTAGTCATGGAAACCATGTTTGAGCTGGCCAATAGGGATCGATCAGAAGGGCTCAACATGGACTGGTATGGATGAGAGAGACCACCCAATGAAGTAACAAGATAAACACGAAGGAATTTGTGGGACCCATCCTGGCTGAAAGCATGGACCGCCAAAGCCTGAGGATGAGATACAGGGGACCAAAAGAGGTGTAATTTGTGATTGAGAGCTGTGGCAAATACATGTAAGTGTAGAAAACACCACATATTGTAAAGACACCAGAAAAGAAGGGTTTCTAAAAACAACTCCATTGGATAACTTTTGTCAGGGTGGGAAAGATGATCCAATACGAGATTGAAAGCACCCAGAACTTGGCAGGCAATGATATGAATGTGGTGCATGTGGGCCCAATATAGGAGATCCAATGTATAAAAACAGAAAAATCTTGACCAGGTGCCTCCTTGGTGACTGATATATGCTACTACCATATAACTGTTAGAAGGAATTATCACCAGACAATGTCTGGCAAGAGGAAGGAAGTGATTCAAAGCCCAATGGACCACAAGAAGCTCAAGGATGTTGATATGCAAAGACTGCTTGTCAACAAACCAACGACTTGAAGTCTCCTGGTGATTGACCCATGCACCCCAGCCCTGAAGGGTTACATCTGTGAACAGATGTACATTTGGACGAGGAGAAGGAAGTGGGATGCCTGCCAATGTATGGGCCTTGTCCAACCACCAAAGCAGATCTATCAATAGGACATGAAGAAGGGTAATGGAAGCTGACAAGGGATTCTGAACAAGTTTCATTGATTGTGAAGAGCCCACATATGTGCATGACCAAGGGGGACCAGTGACATCATTGAAAGCCACATCCTCAAAAGCGATAGAACATCATGAGCAGAAAGTGAGGGAGCTGAAAGGCCATGGTGAAATAAAAATTCCATGGAATGAAGTCATAGAGGAGAAGGTTGGACAAGATATTGGGTAGAACAGAGGAAGAACTTATCCAATTTGATTAACCAGCCCAATTAAACAGCCACGTGAGGGAGCTAACAAGTATGGCTGGCTGACATCAGTTCAGAATGAGCCAGAAGAAGCCAGTCATCCATATAATGGTGGAATCGCAGCCTCAGAGCATGAAAATGGTGTGCGAAAGTTCTGACCACCCAACATAAAATGGGGCAGAAACAAGACTGAAGGGTAGGGCATGAAATTGGTAAAATAGCCCATGATGGACGATCCGAAGATATGAACGAGACTTTGTTGAGACAGGGATGTGTAGATAAGCATTGGCAATGTCTATCTTAGTCATCCATAAGCCTGGAGAAAACACTCACCACAGGGTGAGAAATGACTTTATGGCAAAACAGGGCAGTTGAACGAATTGAGTAAGGCGGGACAAATCAATGCCAGGTCTCAGTCTTTGGTTTTCTTGGGAACAACAAAGAGTCTGGAATAAAAACCTGGTGAAGTATGTACAACAGGTTCAATGGCCTGCTAAGATAGTAGGTCCTGAACCGCCTCTGACAGACACTGCCCTGTCATTGGTTCCAGAGGCAGAGGGATGGAAATGGGTATAGGAGACATGGGAGATAGGGAAAAAAGGGATCACAAATCTTTCCAATAAAACTTGAAGAAATAAATGATCTTTGACGAAAGAAAATCAGCAAGTCCAGCTACCACTGAACCAGAACCCACCAGGTAGTCACTGATACTGTTGGTGATGTGATGTGTGATGTTGAAAAAGACGACAAGACGTGGCACCTTGATGATAAGATGCTGGTAAATGGATGTGACATGTGAAGATTGATCATGTAGTAAGGAAGGCCGTGGTTCATAAGAAATGGGTGCAAAGGATAAAACATCACATACCTGAGAAACGAAATTCAAAAAGATCATAGTAGGCCTAACTGACTCCTCAGGAATGGCATTGCAAAACACAGCAAAATCAGAAGGTGGAAATAGGCAATCCAAGTTCTCAACAGACTGAACAGACTCAGCATGTTCGGGAGGAAGTGGAGAAGGTCTGGAGATAGCGGTTGACCTATGTAATGTGAATAAATTCTGATAAATCTCCTGCTGGGTCACCTGCACCTGAGGCCTATGACACAATGCTAGTTGCAGGTGTGACCTTCCAAAAGTGGTAACATGAAGTTCAGAATTCATAATCAAGAAGAGTCAACCAAAATTGAAATTATTAATAATAATAATAATGCAACTGTAATAAACTGGGATTAAATTAAAGTGAAGAAATAGTCTTAATAAACTTGGAAGTAATTTAAATGAAAACTACTTCACGAGTATACTAAAGTTGAACATGAAACTTGAAACAAACAAAGAAACATGTTCAAGCACAAGCATTGCTAAACGAGAAGTGATAGTTTGGTAGAGGTGTATAGAGGGAGTTACATGCATCATGCTCCTATTGGTGGAAAAGTGACACATGCTGATTTGCATGAGAGACAAGTTGGAATCATTTGATTCCAATAGGGGGAGCAGAAGGCTTCTGGCATGCATAATGAAAAAAGTTCGCATATAGAGGGCTGCATTGGACGAGAATAGCTAATCCTGTGAGAGGAGGAAAGTACTGTATTGGAAATTGACAAATTTCATTTGCATAATCTTTCAAACTTCCCAAATGAGCAAATTTCAAGCATTTTCAGTAAAATTACATATTTTATCAGTTATTTTTTCTACCTTAACTCTATAACACCATAGAAAATATGAAATAAATATCAATTACCTTTTTTCTTTCTAGAATGACTTCAAATTGTAACACAAAACTACATTTGTTTATCTTAAATAGCTTAAATCTCATAACAGTATACATCTTTTTCTACTTAAATGTTATTGTTTTGTCCTTTGATCTCTGCCTAACTAATAATCCCACTACAAAAGTTGTAAATCCCATGGCAAACATGTAAGTCATGTTATCTTATCAAATTACGTAAAACACATGCTACTCATGAGCGTACATCATTATTTTTTTCTTTATCTGACCTAATCCAACATAATAAATTTCTAACTTTAAAATCCTAGTTACTTTTATAATAATAAATAAAGAATACACATGAAAAACAGGAAATATAATACTTACCTTGATCTTTATTTTTGCTGTCGTCTGTCAATGAAGCTTAACCCTACATTTTTAAACTAATGGAACTACTACATTAAATATTTTTTATTTAATTAAACAATGCACCTAAGAATACAGAATAATAAGATGTAAAAAGCAGACAACATATGATAACTATCATAATTTTTATAGCTTCCTAACTATACCATAAGAGCCATTAAAAATTCACTAAGCTAATCGATGTTTTTCCTGTGTAAATAAAGTTTGAACTGGAAGTGAAATGGACAATTGTCTGTACAGGAAACAACATAATATAATTTGCCATTTGATTGATTAAAACTTTGGCTTTCTATTGGTTCTAAATAATATGGTATTAAACATTAGTGAGAACTATTGGCAATTTGTGAATGAGTGAATGTGGCAGATTGGCATGGCAAGAGGGGTCTGATTTTTTATTTTATGGCTCTGTAACCATATAAGATTGAAGGCTATAAATATTATCCTTTGCCTGAGTGATAACAATATTATAATGAACAATTTACATTAAATTGCATACTTCTCAGAGA